TGCAGCGGGCCCGTCTGGCCCGGGTCACTCGGAGAGAGGATGTGTACGTGTTAGGGTGAGGCCGGATGGCATGCCACTTCAAAGCCACTAACACTGTATCTCACCGTCTCAGCTGAGAAGTCTCCATCCTTCACGTTTCCTCTCACATTTCAAACGCTGCATACAGCAGACACATGCCACCGTTTCCAAACAGCAAACAAAAATATTTTTTTTTTGCTTCTTTAGAGGAAGCTTTAGCTTATTGCATCAACCTTCCTTTAAGAGCAGCAGCGACGAGCCCCTTTTTTGTTTTTTGCATAAAACCAACATAGTGGGCGTCCTGCGGTTTCTTGGGTTTGTAGTAAGGGGTTAGAGCCTCTACAGGTATACCTAGGGACTCGCCAAGAGCCCCACTTACCCCATTTATCCTTTCTATTACCCAGCAGATCTTTGCGAGACAGAGATGACTATGGGTTTCACCACACTCAGAGCTGGAAGCTCAGAAGCCACAGATGCCCCCGTACCTGCAGAGAAACAGCCCTGCACACTGGCGGGAAACTGGCTCTAAACAGCCCGGTGTTGGCAAATGGGTGTTGAGTCAATGCCACCGCGCTGTTCTGCTGCGTAAATGCGTATATTCCAGGAGTCAGTCATGATGGCGCCGATGATACAAGTCTGTCATGGGGTTCGGTGCGCATCTCTGTGACAAAACCCGCAAATCCTGAGCAGACACAACAACCTGAGTCATTTGGAGGCATGATTGAAATGACAAACTGAGCTGAATGTGGGCACTGAGGTCAATACCTGATACTTGGTCGATGTGAGGTGTCATAAAAAAATGTTTACTGAGATTTTATGATAGATTGACACAAAATGAAACATATTATTCAGGTGAAAACATCAAAGCACTGTATAACACATCCCAAAATGGAAACCTGAAAGGCAGCATCAGGAGGGCTTCACTGGAGGAGCTGCCAAAATATACGGCTCAGGTGGTAATTTAATGCGTTCCCACTCCACAAATGTGTCCTTGTGGAAATTGAAAATAAACTGTAGAACGTCCCTCATCACAAGCAATATAAACAGCTCAGGTGGTAGAAAGTACTCTGGTCAGATGAGACAAAAACCTTTTGTCTCATCATTCAATAATGTGGAATCACATGGTGGAAGGATTCTCTTCAGCAGGGAAAGAAGTCGTTCAGTTGATGAGAAAATAAATGAAGCCGAACACAAAGATGGTGGAAGGACCGGGACCTACTTCAGGTCAGAGATGGGGTGGAGGTTCACCTTCCTGCTGCAGAATTAACCCTGAGCATACAGCCAGAGCTGCAAACCTGTCTGCAGTACGCCTGGCTTTAGTAAATCGTTCCCCGTCAGCCCCCCTCACCACCCAAATGTACGTGGAGTGATGAACAGTTTGCACTGAAACCTTGATTACAATGCAAATTGTAGTTGACAATAAAGAAATTGATTGATTGACTGATTGGTTAAGAAGATGGGCTTAAAGGAATAGTACATCCAAAACATGATTAGCCTTCATTTTCTACTCACCCCCATGCTGAACAACACTCTGGAGTACTTTTTTGATATCTCAAATGCATCTGGAGATCTGGGAGGCTTCTTGCTGTCTGCTGACATTCAAATAATGGAGGTCTATGGTGACCGAGACAGAAAGGTCCATAAAAGTCCACAAAAAACGTGTCAATATTCCTCCATACTGCTCGTCCAATTTATTCCAAGTGTCCTGAGTGGGTAGCATCCAGAATTTACTCGAAACGAAGTCATTTAGAATGTTTTTAGAGCATAAACAGTAGTGTATAGGATTTCCTGAAAGCGCACACATGCGCGTTCACAACGCTACGGAAGCCGGCAGACCAAACCAGATGAAAGTGCGCATTCAGCGTCTGCTCTTCCAATAATGCAAGCGTAGAAGAAGAAATGTTCTGTTTACCTGTGCAAAGAAAGAAACAACGAAAGAAAAATGTCTGGTTTGGTCAGCCGGCTTCCGTAGCGTCGTGATCGCGCATGTGCGAGGAATATTGACACGTTTTTTGTGGACTTTTATGGACCTTTCTGCCTCGGGCGCCATAGACCTCCATTATTTGAATGTCAGCAGACAGCAAGAAGCCTCCCAGATCTCCAGATGCATTTGAGATATCAAAAAAGTACTCCAGAGTGTTGTTCAGCATGGGGGTGAGTAGAAAATGAAGGCTAATCATGTACTATTCCTTTAAATGGTCTAGTCAAAGTCCACATCTGAAGCCCTAGAAAAAAAAAGAAAAATACATTCTCTTCATTTAAAGGCATTTCTTAACTTGAACAACACCTAAACTGCTAGTCTTGGTTTAAAATTACAAAAGGGTCCTGGAGGAGGATGTGGAGGAGAACATTTGAGAGTAAATTATTCTGGGCCAGAGTAAATAAGGTTTACATGCTCAAAAATGGACCAAAAATCCCCAAATGTTTACATGTAAGACCTCTTATTCATGCTGCAAAGAGGGAATTAAATGCAAGAAACTAATAAAACCATACCTGAATGGAAAAAAAAACAACAAAAAAACAGGCGGCCTTGTGCAGTTTTAGACTTTGCGTTTGATGTTGGTGAAGGTTCTCAGTCATCCAGGTCATAGTCATTAAAAAAAAGGAAATAAAAAAACAATCCTCTGGACTTTGTTTCCAAGTTTGAAGACGTTTAACTTCCCATGTCTGACTATTTGAATCAAAAAAGCTTCCTGGATGGGAAGCGAAACTTCTTCAAACTTGGAAACAAAGTCCAGTGGATTGTTTTTAATTTTCTTTTTTCCCTTGGATGAATTTGCCGTTGCTTCATCAGATATGCATTTCTCACTGCTCTCTGTGTTTCGAAATCTGGACCAACAGAAACAGAAACTTGGTCTTTAGTTGGCTTCTGGGTGTTTTTTTCATGGCGTTTGGACTGTCATCAGTGGATAAAAGAATGAGGTCGATACCGTTGTTGAGTCTCAGATTACCTGATATATACCAAGTGTGTGTCAGTCTCAGTCAACCAGAGCGTATTATTGTTACTAAAGAGGGAAGGTCCCCTCGTAAGAGGACGGGCCGGCTAAACGCGCTAAAGACTCAAAAATTAAACATTTGTCTTCAAATCTGACTGCAGGCTTTCACTGAAATAAGTGCATAACCTGGGTCTAAAAGAACTAGGACATAGGGCTGAGTAAAAACTATATACTACTACTATAAAAAAAAATGTAAAAAGCAACAATTTACCTCACCTTCACTTTGATGTTTAGCTTGTTCTTTTTTTCTTTTATAGATGTCATATAAAATCTAAATAGTTAAATTAATAAATGGTGTTGAGTAGTTTTGGAGGCCCGTCACAAATATTCATCTATTTTGTTCCATTGGATGCTTTTCAAATGGAAATTAGAAAAAAAAAAAATGTAATCCAGAGATTAAAACTTTTTACAGACTAGTTTTTTCAAATTGCTTTTTTTTTATGATTCTATTACAAATTGCATTTTACAGATCACATTCACTTTAAGCCGGGGTCGGCCATGCAGAGAACTAAGGCCTCAGTTCATGGGTCGTGCGCGGTAATCACTGCGCCGACGATGCGTGCCCCAAACTAGACACATATGTCCGAGTTAATGTCCATACAGAGGAAAGCTCGCCCCCAGAAGGGAAGGTGATCTTTAAAGGAAAAGTTTGGTCACATTCAGAATACAAACTTCTGAAAGTACTTTAAGTATGAAATTATTACATACGTTTCGATAAATAAGTGTTTTTAATTAAGAGTAATTTTCATTTGAATGTGCTTTACTGGAGGCATCCATGTTTGTCAAAGAACACTACTGCCACCTACTGGTTTGTGACGTCACGGTGCGGTATCGGCTGTTGATCAAGTCCCAGTGCTGTATCTGGTGTTTGTCACAACGCGCTATTATCCAAGTCATTTTGAAAATATTCTCCTTCCAAATGTTGGCTACATATTACGGGTTTTTTTTTTTTCTCTGGCCAGAAGTTCGATGGCAAATCCTCCCTCTTCAAGTTGGCGATCCAACGACGAACCCGTCCGTGGAGGATCAGGAATCGGAAAGGTGAAATCATTTTTTTTTTTCCCACTTTTACCCGATGTATTCCAGCATCCAGCTGCCATGCATGTGGGCATTGTCAGTTTCACTATAGCTCTGGTGAATTTCAATGGTGAAGTCCTCTGGAAATCTTCAATAATTGTTGTTGATTGCAGATGTGTGTAGTAGTTCCCCTTGATTTTGCTTGTAAAGCGGGGAGAATGGCGCTAGGCTTACCGCACCGTGACGTCACTGCCGGGAGATGTCAGGAGGGAGGGGTTACTATATTTGGGCAAAAATGGCTGCTCCCAGACTCAGTGATCGCGGACGAAAACTGTATTTTTTTACCGAATAATGCTAAATTCATTAAATCACCGCAAACATATTAGCGTTAGGTGTAAATAATGATCCATTGATTTTGCCTTGCTGACCGGACTTTTCCTTTAACGTGCATTTAATAACAGCCTGATTGAAATATTAAAAACTGAAATTTGCACAAAAAAAAACAAAAACAAAAAAACAGGTAGAATAAAATTAGTAAAGATAAAATATGAAAAATTAATTGGAAAAGAAAATCTGCTCAAACAGCTAAATAACTCCCAAAATGTTTGTTTTTTTTAATTAAAATGTTTTTTCTGGATTACATTTTTTTTTTCCAAATTCCCATTTACAAAACACCTTCTCTACTTACAACAATAATGCAATAAAATTCACTCCATAGACCTCATTAATAATCGGTGCAGCCATTTAAGGGCTTCACTCCTGACTTGAGGATATTATCAATAAATTAAAAAAATTATTCAAGTAAGTAATTGTGACAGAAATTATATAAACTAAGGCAAACTAATACTTTTGCTCGTTAACGATTGCAAAACAATAATCATAAAAATAAAACCTAGACTTCTTTTAAAAGTTCATGACTCTGCACCGTGAGCTATGCACAGAAAGTCGCTTCACAAACCAAACAGAGAGTAAAGAAACAGGTTGTTTTACATGAGGTTTTTTAATCCAAAGCTGAAGCAGACAAAAAGTATGACAGGTGGAGCTGAACTGACTCTAAGACGAGCCTAAAGACAGACACATCTGTGCTTCACTACAAAAATGTGATGCTGAGGGGTCAAAACAAAAACCCAACCCAAAGCACTCTCACTGTGAGCGATTCATCCGTGTGGTTCAAATACTAAGGTGGGTGTGATTTTACATAGTAACAAAAACAAAAACCCAAATGATAAATTTATTGATAACTTTCTATGATCCCAAGTGAGTTAGGAAGTGTCCTGGCAGATTTACAACCAATCAGTGATGGAGGGAGCAGTGTGGTAACCTGCTAGAGGTCCTCACTCAGGAAGAAGGCAGGAGGAATAAGTTTAAACACCCAACCTCCTATTCCTTATATAAACCCCCTTATTGATGCATGACATCTTCCCAACACATTTGAAATCAACACTATCCCAAACTGACAGACATCTGCATAGCATTGACCTGAAAAACAATCTGCCGATATTTCCCAATCAGAGGGGTAAAATTGGTAAAAGCTTAAATGACCAAAACAAATAAAAAAAAAAGCCAAAAAGGGGTTAAAAGCTATTTGCAATAATAAGTAATACTCAGTAAGGCCTAGGCTATAACTGTCTTAGAAATATATGAAAAAATACAGTATCGTTTGCCTCCTCTCCGGTGAGCTACATGGAAAAGAAAAACGTTCTGTCTGACCGGCACCTATTTAGCTAGGAGAGAAGGGCTACGACTGAGGTGCTCAGTCAGTGGCGCAGTTCCCTTGTTTGAGTGCATAGGCCTCAGTTTAACATTCATAAAGACAAACTGAACCAGACAGACACTTCCTGTCAGAATATAGCCAACTCCCACAGGCTGGGAAGGCAACTTTTACATTCCTCTTGTCAGTTCAAAATACATCTGCTAATTTTGCATGTATACGGAAAGAAACCTTTGCTTATTTCCATTTTTTGGGGAATTAGCCACAAGATAAAACATTTACGGATAAGGGGGTAAAATTTAACTACAGCTAACACTAAGGCTCCATGTTTTATTCCAACATTGGAAGCCCCTCTGAGTATGCAACCTGATATTGTGAAAAGAGAAGAGAGAGAGAAGGATCCCAAACACCACTTCCTGTCTCCCTCTCCTGTTCCTCTGCATTTCATAATATTTATCCGGAGTAAAAACGTCTACCTGCTCATCACCCTGCAGGGAGCAGCGTGGCGAGCTTGTTAAAATGGCCGAGTAACAAAAAAGAAGAAAAAAAAACACATAGAAAACTTCAGAATTTGCTAGGAAAAATAAGACACTGAGAAAATCCATGCAGTGCGACTCGTGTCGACAATTATTGCTTTCTCCTCTCAACCTGGTGTTTAATGTGTGCATGCAGGCCCCACGCTCTCAGTGGGCAGCGGTTGTTGAGGCTTTCTTCCTCCTTTTCTTTAGCAGTGGATTGTTTGAGTCTTCGATGGTCTTGATTTTGATTTGCTCGTAGTCGACCCTCATCGTTGCCAAGGCACTGGTCATTTCCTCCTGAGAAAGAGAGCAGCAGGAGACGTCAGGCTGATTGGTTTAAATAAAGTTGGGTGTTTTATACCATCATAGGCTCAATTTATTGTAGTTAAGCTTTAGAAGCACTGCAGTTTAACCTGATTCATTGATAATAATAATACTTGTTTGTCTTTAAAGCTGTGAGAATATGGATGAAGAATTAACATTGTATTCAGACTTTAAGCTGAGGAGGAATGATGAGCTTTCTAGTGCATCCTAGACCTCAGATCCTCCTTACTGACCTCCTGCTTACTATATGTGCCAGCAGTTGTGCAACTACATATTTTTGAGGTAGATGCGAACACATCTTTGGCACCCCCCTAAAGAAAATAGTTGTTTTAATGGTTATAGAGTCAGATATGTGGCAGTAATGTTTGATTTATCTAAAGGTTTTTATCTGTTACTGTGTAAATCGGTTTTGCTGAAATTTAAGGACAGATTCTAATATATCTGCAGTGTGGGGACTATAAATCTGATAGGAGTTTAATTTTTTAAATGCTATTTAAAAATTTGCTTAACTAAGTTTTTTTGTTGTTGATTATGACATATTTTGCAGATATATTTTTAATACATAAATTGTTTAGATTTACTTAAATCTTATATCTCTTTATGGTCACACAAATTTGGACCTTTGAAAAATGTATAAGAATAACATAATAGTGAAGAGTTAAAATATAAAGAATAAAATACTTTACTGTAAAGTGTTTAAATAATATAAAACTGTCCACCTGGATAATAAATAACCAATATCCAGCTATGGACATTTTTACAGTAATGGATATTTGAAAATAGCAGGGACATCAGAGATGTGCAAAATGACAGCAGCATGTTATTTAACTGACTAAAGTTTTTTCATTACATTTGATTGTATTTGTTCCTGCTCCCGGTGGTTGGAACCTTTATTCCACTCTGGATTCTCAGGAGTGTAGTCTTTGTTCACTTTCCAATAAAAAAAAAGAAAGAAACAGGCCGTTGCTCAATATGTGTACTTGTGCGTTCTCATGTGCTCGTGAAACGTCATCAGCCTCAGCCCTCGTACTGTTCCGATTCACAAGAACAGCACTGTCACTACCCGATCCATCCCGGAAGCATGATCCAGATATACATCTGGGTCGGCCTCGATTTTATTTTGTTAAAAATACCTAAATGACATTTTCCCTCCCAAAAAAATATGGTAAATATACTAAAATATGTTGTGTTTAAGGTCAATCATGCAATTCCTGACAAAAAGAGATGCCTTAAAATCCTTTCTGCAGGACGGATCGTGTTTCCAGGACGGATCGGGTAGTGGCTGTGACAAGCAGACCGAGAACAGACAAACTCCCTGGATGTTTTTCTCGCCCCTCCCTTATTATTATTGTTTTTAGAGCATAAACAGTAGTGTATAGGATTTCCTGAAAGCGTGCGCCTGCGCGTTCACGACGCTACGGAAGCCGGCAGACGCAACCAGATGAAAGTGCGCATTCAGCGTCTGCTCTGCCGATAATGCAAGTGTAAAGCGTAAAGAAACAACGAAAGAAAAATGTCTGAGGACTTCAGTGTTGAGGAAGAGCATGAGTTCTTTGCTGAGCTGAATGTGCACTTTCGTCTGGTTTGGTCTGCCGCGGTTTCCGTAG